TTTATGTGTGTTCAGAAGGGGCAAAAGAAGGTACATGTTTTCATGGACCTGGGGGATTTCTTGGTTGAAGCTTATCTTCTGCCCTTTTACCCTGAACCACTATTCCTCCAAAGCAGAAATGATAGGGAAGGAAGTCCCCAGAGAATTAATTCAATCAAAAGTCACATTTGAATGTGTTTTTTGTGTATCTTTGAAGTGGATATTTAATTGTATTTTCAAATACTTGTACATTTTCTAGGTTCTTGTATGTATTTTCAATAGTGTTTATGAATAGAAGAATATAAATTATGTCGCTATAAAATTTTAAATATTTACATTGTCAACTTTTTTTATATTATTAAATTGRTTTCACATGAGTGAATCATACCATAATTGACCAGATGAGAAATATTTGTCGCCCAAAATGTGAAGTAGACTATTTTTACTATTACAATTTTAAATCTTAAAATTTTCCATCAGTCCAAAATGGCATAAGCTCAACTACTAGGTATCTAACAGCAATTTAAAGTATAGTCACCTGTGCCTACTTGTAAAGTTAAACAGCTATAACATAAAATGTGACTTAACTTTCAGTGGACACCCTTTATAATATTTATGTTGGATGAGACTAATTATTCAGGCTGAAGGATTTGATGTGTTCCAAGATTTAGAACAGAATTAAGAAACTAGGAGAAACAATTGGGAAAGCAGAACCCAAAAATTTAATATTTGAATAAGTAGAAGCAAGCCTAGCACTCTGGTCTCCTAACATCTTGATTACCATGCTTGGGGGGGGGGGTGAGTTAGTGTGTGTGAGTGTGTACACATGCCTGCATGCATGTACTCACATGAGTATGCATGTGCACATGGCTGGTTGTTGAGGAATGTGAGGAAAGGGGAAATATAATCAGATGGAATCAACAAACTTCTAAATTTGGGTTAAATCATTTTTATATTTTAGAGAAGCTGTTTGTGATAAAACCATAGTACAGCGAATAATGACTGCAAAGATCTGAGTTCTTAAACAAGATTGCCAAACACCTGTATACCCTTAGCCAGATATCTTTATCCATTTATATATATATATATATATATATATAATAGCTGACCTATTTTTTATACATTACTGTGGAAAATATGGATAATAATTCCAAAAATAGTAAAAATTTTTTAAGTTCCTTAGTAATCACTTATTCTTGATTTATTTAAAATTACTTCATTTAAAATTAACTTTTAGCTCATTTAAAATTTAAAGCTAATGATGTAACTAATTACTAAATAGTAATTTTTAAAAAGAAATGAAAAACTATCTAATTGTATAGTAACCTTTTCCATAATAGAAATTACTCATCTTGAGCTGCATTAACACCTTGAGTGCATGTAGTGATGTGATGATTCATTAAATAGTAAGCTTTAAACCAAAATGTTTAAGTAATCAGAATGCTTTTAAATGTGGCCTTTATATGCATAATAGTAGCAAACAAGATTTCTTGAGCCTGGAAGATGGAGTTTAGGATTCTAGAAGTCTGAAGCACTCCAGGATTTTTTTTGTGTGTGGCAACTGAAAAACCATCTTTTATATTATGGTTAAGATAACTTTATTAGAACAAAGTCTTTTTAGCAAACTTTTCATCATTAAAAAATGAATCTATGGATTACTAAAATCATTTTGAGAGTATTTTAATATTTTAATCTGTTTTTATACTGCCCTTTACTCAATTAAGAACAAAACTTCCATTAACTTCAAAGAGTGCACTGAATTTCAGTAATTTAAGTCTGTTTCAGTGAGGAGGACTAGGAAGACTAAACAACCATTTTATAAGCATATTCATTTGTTTCCCACTAACTGCCTRGAAAGATTTAGCTTGGAAATGCAAATGAAATATATAATCTTTAGGGAAAGAAATATAAGACTATAAAGCCTTTAGAGTTAGATCCTTTGTATTTTAAAATAGTAGAATACATTCCCAATGTTTTCACCAAACTCCTGAACAAYTGATCTTCACCTGGTCTTGAAATACCTAGCACTATTTTTCCCAAACCTGAGTGAACTGCTGCATGACCTGTTATTTCTATAAAGTTAATAACTGATGCAAGTAGACACAAGAGTGATGAGCTGTGACAATCTGTATCAATCATTACACAGTCTAGTTCATTTATTGCACATAACCATGGTAGAAAATTATGAGAAGAAATTTGAAAGATATATWAAAAATAAGTGTACCTTGTTATCTCTCTGGGTAAATTTTTTGTCTTTTTAAAAAGTAGTGCCTAATACATTGTCTTATCTATGTAACATTCAGTGATTGCTAATTGATGGTTAATGTGTTGAATTAATCCTATTAAATGTGAGTTCCACATACTTGGTTTTAATTTATACATTCCATGGAGGAATAAACATGTTTTGCTATCATCATTTCTTGGCATTTTTTTTCAGGATGACAGCCAGGAGAAGTAAGATTTGGCATAAATTTTTGAAGTATGTTATTAATCTTATTTGACTTTAAATTATGAATAAGAAGAATGAGAGTAAGATTGTTACATTATTCATTCTTAGCAATTCACCTACAATAGTATTTTAAAACAGAAGCAACTACTTTAACTGCAGTTGCACTTGTGTATGTGTGTTCACAAATGAAATACAAATGAGAATCAATTCAAAATTTGCAATTTCATATATATTGCATTATTCAATGGTGGGTATGTGGCAGAGCCCCATTATCAAACAATATTTACACAGCAAAATGGCTAGTATTCACACTAGAAGAGATAAGTCTATAAGCAATCTATCATCAGGTCAGGTCAGATTTTTGCTATCAAATGAGTTACAAAAAAATTAGAGCATTTTGGATTTTGAATTGCAGAAAAGGATGATGGCCTTGAACTAATAGATATTTTAAAATTTGTGATCTCTAGTTGGTTCATCTYTGTCATGCTTCAGCTTTACACATAACAGAAACTAATTAAATTTTGAATCAAATTGTTAAATCACACAGGAAATGTTCATACCCCTGCACATAAAACTAATTACACATGTAAATGTTTATTTACCATTAGTGCTTGATACATAGTAAGCACTTGATAAATGTCCTCTTATTTTTCTTCTGTTTTTAATAATAATATAACTATCAAGTTGTCAAGAAGCCAGTTTTCATCTCCATGGTTAGGCAGAATTGTTGGTAATGGCTATCTTGCTAGTTCATTTCAAATGGTCATGACTCTTTGAAATGGTCTGATATTTATCAGAAAAAAAAAGCTTTAATATTGCCTTAAAGCACACAGAGAAGATGATACACTTTTAGGGGATTGCTGATGATCAACAACAGCATCTGAGCAATGGGACAGGTGCTAGAATGAATGTGGCATGTCCCAACAGCAGTGCTGTAAATACAGGGAGAGTGTGCATGAACCTAAGGTAGTGAGGACTGTGGGTCA